TAGCCGTCGATATACCCCCGGCACTGATGAACACACCGACGGTTGTGTTGCTTAATGTGAGCTGAGATTCATAGAAAGTGTAAACCGATGGATAGACTGTTGAGAAACCGATTCCCATAATAATAAGACCGGCCATTAATACCCCCTCAGAGTAGTGATAGTATTCGTATAAAAATAGAAATATATTTGATATGAATATCAGTATCAGATTGACGTAAATGTAGTTTTTTGTCCAATACTTGATCGCAACAACATAGTTTATTAAACGGGAAATGGCAAACACTCCGATCAGTATAGCTAGTAATTGTGAACTCTGGGAGTCGGATATATGTTGGTACGAGCCCTGGAGAAATGTGGGAATTAGCTGAAAGTTCATGAGCTCCAAGCCCGTGTACGGCCCTATAATAAATACTCCGAGTAATATGTATATGAGTTCCCATTTCTTCGGAAATTCAAATTTTATTCCTTTCTCTTGACTTTTAGGCGGAATGTATGGCCGATAACAGTAGAGAAGTAGTAACAGAATCGCTGATACTATAAGCAAAACACCGTTTATAGCAAAGGGAACTTCCAGTCGGGACACATTGATTATGCTGGAAGTATATGTCTGATTGGTGGGTATGTCTGTGAGGTACGGGGTGTCGATTAGGGGCGCAATACAGACACCGACGGCAAAGAAAAACTGAACGCCAGCTAAATATAGACTCGATTTATTGCCCCACACTTCCACTAACCAAACTACTAGTGCCGTGTCTAAACCTAATTTGGCAATAGTTTAGTTAAGCTCCATTTGAAAAATTATTTTTAAATATATATAAAAAATTTTCAATGAATACCTCCACAACCGTACCCACAAATCCCCGCCATAGCGAATAGTACGGCTATATTAGGACAGACAGGTAGGACAGCGACAGTTATGGCCATAGCTATCATAAGACATGCCAAAACCAACTGACGGTTTATGTAATTGAATATAATTGCGTCTTTTTAGTTAAAAAATAATTGTAGATTATGTGGGATATTAATATAATGTCAAAAAACAATAGTTTGAAATTAAAACAAAATAGATTATAACACTTACTGACAATAGCACCGATAGTATAGCCGATGAAAATGCATAGGAATACGAATGAGATATCGCCGGTAGTTGTATTCAATTTAACTCTTAAATCATTCAAAGCCGGACCAATTATACTGATAATTAACCCCTATATTACAGTTTATTAATCCGTTTTATTTGTTAATGATTTTAATTTAAAAATTACAAAGACTTACGTAAGATAAGGTACAGAAAAATAAAATCCATGTAACAAGTTGCTTGTATTTGTTATCCAGTTCACGACTATTTCTACTTTCAGTTTGTACATCAATTGTAGAGCTAATCTTCATATCTTCCGACATAAGTAAAATACGGTATACAACAGACTCTGTATGTGTCAGCCCTCTGAGCGAGAATTAGGTTTCGCCAGAAATATGTCCACATATTTCATAAGTCATATGATTAAAACAGTTTGTTATAAATTTATAATAATAGTACTAATGTTTAGTGCATTGGTTGCAAAAATACATTTTCAGAGCAAAAATAAATGTTTAGCTGTTTTCTATCAATTCTGTATTGTGTTCAGCATTTGCTAAACAATTGTTTGTTTTTTTGCAGCCAACAGAATAACACAGAATTTAAGTATTCATATGATTGCATAGAGAATATACGTATAGAGTGTAAAAGTAAAGGCAATTTCACAGACATTTAAATGTCATGAATATGGGACTCGACCCCAAACCACTAATAGAAGTAAATTAAAATTAATTAATGATTCATAAACACAAAACTACACTAAATATGACACAGAATTAGGCGTTGAATTAATGAGAAAACACCAGCAATAGGGATAGGGATATATGATTGACAGAAATACAATTAATCTGTTTAAATTTATTAAATAGTGGTTTGCAAAAATAAAAGTAAAAATATCTTTTTATTTTATTGTTACATTTGAAAATGATTAGAGTTCATTCATACTATGAATTTCAAACAATAATTTGATCACCAAAATACTTAATAGATGTGAGTTAATTAACTCATGTTGATTTTAGTTATGTTATACCGGTAATAAATTCTAAGCTTAATGATTATTTTATTTATAAAGTTTAGTTTTTAAATTGTTATTTGTTATTACTACTGTAACATTTTAAATATAATAGATAAATATGAAATTATATTTAAAAGTTCTAATCTAACCATATATTTTTTAGCATGACATTCATTTGTAAGCTTGGTAATATTTCCATTATACTCATAATTTAGTTTAAAACATTATTTTTATTACTTTTACAAAGTTTCAAAGTATAAGTGTGCAAGGCCGATTTATATTTATAATACAATAATATTATTAAAATATAAGAAATTTTTTTATCAACTATCAGAAATAAATTAATAGTTCAAATAACTTACAAATTACAAAAATGGATATTGGTTTTAAAATATATTTATCAAGATCTTAGGACTTAAATCAAGATTATCATGATCTTTTATATAATATTAAATCTTTTATAAAAATATTAAACATGGTGAATAATATCAAAACTATTGTACATAAAATGAAATTCATATAAATGAGAGCCAATGGCTGAGCGGCGATGAATTGTCCGCAAACTGTTGGAAATACATCCGACGCTATACCCATAAGTTATGAGCCATAACACTGATCACACCGACGGTTGTGTTGCTTAATGTAAGCTGAGATTCAAAGAAAGTGTAAACCGATGGATAGACTGTCGAGAAACCGATTCCCATAATAATAAGACCGGCCATTAATACCCCCTCAGAGTAGTGATAGTATTCGTATAAAAATAGTAATATATTTGATATGAATATCAGTATTAGATTGACGTAAATGTAGTTTTTTGTTCAATACTTGATCGCCACAACAAAGTTGATTAACACCCTGGTTAATATGGCTAGTAATTGAATTTATGAAGGAATACCTCCACAGCTAATATTGCGGCTATATTTGGACAGACAGGTAGGACAGAGACAGTTATGGCCATAATTATCATAAGACACGCCAAAACCAACTGACGGTTTATATAATTGAATATAATTTCGTCTTTTCAATTAAAAAAAATGATTCTAGATTATGTTGAATATTAATATAATGTCAAAAAACAATGGTTGGAAATTAAAAATGAAAGATAATCAAAATTTTGTTTATAACGAGTTCTCCAATATGTTTGCTATCCTGTGATCATTGCTCTCCTGTTTGTCATAATAAGGGCTTTGAGACGATCCAAAAAGTTTCTTTAATTTCTTGAGTTTTATTTTTGAATGAAATAAAAAATAAAAGTAAAGTTTTGATCGATTTTTAATATATACTTTANTAAAATTCATCATAGTTTTATATGTTGTAAATTGTAATCCATAAATGATCTAAATAGTAAATTGATGAAAATACTAAATGGTATTATTATCTCGATAATGTTTTATAATAATATTGTGTTTAACAAGAGGTGCTTAAAACTGACAATTAGATTAAAAATCAAAAACAAATTATATTGTGACAATTGATTTTATAAGTGAATCAAACAATATATTTGACATTAAAGTTAGGTATATCAATAATTAAAGTAAAATTAAGCAAATATTACCTAGACAATTACAGATCGTTTTCTGATGGCAATAATAACATTAAATGCTATAAAAATACACAAAACAAAAATCGTCAAGATAAAATTCATATAAATGAGAGCCAATGGCTGAGCGGCGATGAATTGTCCGCAAATAGTGGGAAATATAGCCGTCGATATACCCCCGGCACTGATGAACACACCGACGGTTGTGTTGCTTAATGTGAGCTGAGATTCATAGAAAGTGTAAACCGATGGATAGACTGTTGAGAAACCGATTCCCATAATAATAAGTCCGGCCATTAATACCCCCTCAGAGTAGTGATAGTATTCGTATAAAAATAGTAATATATTTGATATGAATATCAGTATCAGATTGACGTAAATGTAGTTTTTTGTCCAATACTTGATCGCAACAACATAGTTTATTAAACGGGAAATGGCAAACACCCCGATCAGTATAGCTAGTAATTGTGAACTCTGGGAGTCGGATATATGGGCCCTGGAGAAATGTGGGAATTAGCTGAAAGTTCATGAGCTCCAAGCCCGTGTACGGCCCTATAATAAATACGCCGAGTAATATGTATATGAGTTCCCATTTCTTCGGAAATTCAAATTTTATTCCTTTCTCTTGACTTTTAGGCGGAATGTATGGCCGATAACAGTAGAGAAGTAGTAACAGAATCGCTGATACTATAAGCAAAACACCGTTTATAGCAAAGGGCACTTCCAGTCGGGACACATTGATTATGCTGGAAGTATATGTCTGATTGGTCGGTATGTCTGTGAGGTACGGGGTGTCGATTAGGGGCGCAATACAGACACCGACGGCAAAGAAAAACTGAACGCCTGCTAAATATAGACTCGATTTATTGCCCCACACTTCCACTAACCAAACTACTAGTGCCGTGTCTAAACCTAATTTGGCAATAGTTTAGTTAAGTTCCATTTGAAAAATTATTTTTTAATTTATATAATATTTTTTCAAGGAATACCTCCACAACCGTGCCCACAAATCCCCGCCATAGCAAATAGTACGGTTATATTAGGACAGACAGGTAGGACAGCGACGGTTATGGCCATAGCTATCATAAGACACGCCAAAACCAACTGACGGTTTATGTAATTGAATATAATTCCGTCTTTTTAGTTAAAAAATAATTATAGATTATGAGGAATATTAATATAATTGTCAAAAAACAATAGTTTGAAATAAAAACAAAATAGATTATAAAACTTACTGACAATAGCACCGATAGTATAGCCGATGAAAATGCATAGGAATACGAATGAGATATCGCCGATAGTTGTATTCAATTTAACTCTTAAATCATTCAAAGCCGGACCAAGTATGCTGATGATTAACCCCTATATTACAGTTTATTAATCTGTTTTATTTGTTAATGATTTTAATTTAATAATTACAAAGACTTACGTAAGATAAGGTACAGAAAAATAAAATCCATGTAACAAGTTGCTTGTATTTGTTATCCAGTTCATGACTATTTGAACTTTCAATTTGTACTTCAACTGTAGAGCTAATCTTCATATTTTTCGACATAAGTAAAATAGGTATACAACAGACTCTGTATGTGTTAGCCCTCTGAGCGAGAATTAGGTTTCGCCAGAAATATGTCCACATATTTCATAAGTCATATGATTAAAACAGATTGTTATATAATAATAGTACTAATGTTTAGTGCATTGGTTGCAAAAATTCATTTACAGAGGGATAATAAATGTTTAGCTGTTTTCTATCAATTCTGTATTGTGTTCAGCATTTGCTAAACAATTGTTTGTTTTTTTTGCAGCCAACAGAATAACACAGAATTTAAATATTCATATGATTGCATATACAGAATATATGTATGGGGTGTAAAAGTATAGGTAATTTCACAGACATTTAAATGTCATAAATATGGGACTCGACGCCAAACCACTAATAGAAGTAAATTAAAATTAATTAATGATTCATAAACACAACACTACACTAAATATAACACAGAATTAGGCGTTGAATTAATGAGAAAACACCAGCAATAGGGATAGGGATATATGATTGACAGAAATACAATTAATCTGTTTAAATTTTTTAAATAGTGGTTTGCAAAAATAAAAGTAAAAATATCTTTTTATTTTACTGTTACATTTGCCAATCATTAGAGTTCATTCATACTATGAATTTCATACAATAATTTGATCACCAAAATACTTAATAGATGTGAGTTAATTAACTCATGTTTATTTTAGTTATGTTATACCGGTAATAGATTCTAAGCTTAATGATTATTTTATTTATAAAGTTTAGTTTTAGATTGTTATTTGTTATTACTACTGTAACATTTTAAATATAATAGATAAATATGAAATTAAATTTAAAAGTTCTAATCTAACCATATATTTTTTAGCATGACATTCATTTGTAAGCTTGGTAATATTTCCATTATACTCATAATTTAGTTTAAAACATTATTTTTATTACATTTACAAAGTTTCAAAGTATAAGTGTGCAAGGCCGATTTATATTTATAATACAATAATATTATTAAAATATAAGAAATTTTTTTATCAACTATCAGAAATAAATTAATAGTTCAAATAACTTACAAA